TGACTGTAATAATATATAGTATAAAGTTTGTTTAATTTTTTATTAACTATAATTTATCTTTTGAGTAGCTATGCACTAAGCTTTAATTTAAAACGGTTTACATATTGGTTCTGTATTCTAGGGTTCATTAAAAGGTAAAATTCGCAAATAAAACTCAAAATGAATGACTTTTACTGTTCTCAGTGAGATTATAATAATAACCAAACTGACAGGGGTGTTAGGCTGAACCAGTGTAGTTTTTGTTACTAGTATAAATTACCCAAATACTTCAAAGTACTTTGCTAATCTTTTAACACTTTTTTGCACCGTGTTTTGTGTTGTTTAAGTATTGACACTTGTGTTTCCACAGGGTAAATAAGAGGTCTTCACAATGGGCACATGGGCTGTGGTGTGTGTGAGGACACTCTGCTAAGCATGCACGCCTGGGGCAGTGTATTCAGGGGACAGTGCTGCTGAGTGGGACCATTTGTTTGTGCAGACACTCATGGACGACTTCACCACCAGGACATATGGAACCAGCGGAGGTCTGGACAACAGGCCTCTGTTCGGGGAGACCTCGGCCCGGGTATGTACCTCCAGAAACAGCCTCACTCTGTGATCCTGTTCATGTTAGAGATGAACAGGCTAATGCTATTGTTTTATTGTTATTGATTCTTAGGACCGAATTATAAACCTCGTTGTTGGGGGATTTACGTCACTGATTGTACTTGTAAGTAAGTTATACTTTTTATGTTTCCTACTTTGGAGGATTTTACTTTAAATTGTTTTTTTGTTTGTTTGTTTTTCCAGTTGACAATTATCAGCTCATTTGTTTTCCCCTCACCACCTCCCCGGCCACTAAATATATTTTTTGCTGTGTGCATCTTATTAACGTGTGGATCCACCATAGTGCTGGTAACTTATCTCTGCTATTAATCTTAAATGTTGGTTCTCAAGTATTCACTTTTCTAACACTTATTTTGATGTGTTCACAGATATTTTGGTACAGACAGGGTGATCTGGAGCCTAAATTCAGGAAACTTATTTACTACATGCTGGCATCCATAGTACTGCTATGTTTATGTGCCAACTTGTACTTCCATGATGTCAATAAAACGTAGCAGCATGGAGAAGAAAAGGAGGGACACATGGCCTTTTTCAAACAACACAAGTATGAAAGGACTATATACTTTAAGACAAAATATAAAAATGTATTTAAAGCAAATGGAATTTCGTCCCAGCGGACCAAAAATTACACTGCTGTGTTTCATAGGGATAAAAACTCATCTAGTTATTAAGCTGAGTCACAAACCTCTGCAGGACGGACACACATGGCACAGCACATATCACACTGCTGAAAAGACAATGTACAGTATTAGACCAGAAAGAGAAGAGTTAAAGACACAAGTGTGAGAATATTTTGATGACGAAAAAATACGCACTGAAGCTCATTTTTGATACTTCAAGTTATGGTATTTTTTTACAAAATGACACATGAAATGTAACTGTAGTTGGTGACTGTTTGACCAAATAGTCTTGCTTGTGCAGTAGTGTTCTGCAAAGGTTGTTACACAATACTCTTTTAGTTGTGATGTGTGTGTCACCATTTTACTGTTTTAACTCTGTAATTATGAGTTTACTGTACAACAAGACTCTCTAATTCTAATTTAAAGGTTCAGCAAGAAAAAAATCTGATTGTAATATTCAGTGTGGATTTTCCCAGCATTTAATATTTGACAGCTTGATTATTTTTCTTCTATGTACTGAGTAATTTGTACTTTATGCAAGTACAAACTAGAACAATACCTGTACTATTAACAGGGTTTGAATATATGCAATCCATTTTCTGCAGCAGCTTGTATGGCTGATGTGATCATTGTCATTTAATTTAATTCAAATTTTCAAACAAATGTTGGGTAGCTTTTCTTATATTGAATGTTGAACTACACTGACTGCCAAGTCTTGCACTAATTTATTTGACACGTATGTGTCTGATCTAAACTTGCACACTAATGCTGCCATTTACTCAAGCCAATAGATATTTGAGCTGGAATTCTGCTGGAATCACAAGCTTAGCTTTAATTGTAATACTTGTACTGTTTTTTGGGGTTTTTTTTTTGTAATGACATGAAGCTGAATCATTTTAGAATTTGGGTGAAGTGAGACCTAACTGACTGCATTAGGATTATTTTTTAACTATTAGACATGTAAGTCTAAAAGGTCTTCAAAGCAGTGTGGCAAACTATGCAACTAAGCCAATATCAATTGTCTGTTATCTCCTTGATATGTTTTATTGCCATAAAAATATACAACAAAATGTAACATTCTTTTTAACAAGGTTCCTCATCCATATATCACTATCTACATAGTTTCTAAGAACTGGCTGAAACCTGTTACTGTCTCTCACCATTCCTTGTTGATACATTTAAATTACAAATTCATTATTTTCTGGATTGTTTACAGATTTTCTATGTGGTAAGTCTTTGGATAGAGCTTGTAAACATTTAAATATCTAACTGGGCAAAGCAGCCCCACATTCCTTCAGACAAGTTGGCCTTGTCACAAGAAATTTATTTTTTTCCCCCACAATAAACATGTACCATGACTTTATGGCTGTTTGTTTAAAACAATATGACAATTATGATGTGCCAAGTGTAACTGTCAAGGTACATAATTTAGTCAACACTTCTCTTTCCTAGTCCGTTAAGCACTTTGATATTCACTAAATTGGTCATTCAAATGGACATTGTTGTCTGCAAGGACTCCTCTTTTAACACTGCAGGAACTTGCTGTGCTTCATACAACCTTCTGAGAGATTAAAATTCAGTCTGAGCCTTCTTGGTTTTCCAGGATAGGGTCTGAGAAGTAAAGAAATCAAATAAAATTCAAACAATTACATAATTTACATTGAATTTATAAACTGAAAATGAACATCTACGTCAAAACAAAATAATTTACCAGTCAGTGTGCTGCTGATGTTATGAGGAGAAACTATGAGAACTGTATTACCAGAAGTTATTTCTGAATTCACTACCGTAGCTTCCACTGATGCCTGTTGTACATCCTATCACAAGTAGGCATAACGTTTTCAAAATAATGTGGTTGGTTAGTAAAATCTATGCAAAATTATGTTTATCATACCTTTCCATCAAAACTATCTGTTATTGCTTCTTGGCTTTCTGTGACAACATTTTGTGTTGCGTTTAGTAGACTTGAAGTATCCAGGTGGTCCTGCCTACTGTCCTCTGCCTCTACGACCAGCTGTGATTGGCTGACGGGGTCCAGAGTGGTGGGGTCAGAAGTGACTGTGTGAATGATGACGCCATCACTTGAGCAAAGACTGTCAGTCTGAAGTATATACAAAGGGAAAAAGATTGGATATAGATGCATAAAATCATAGAACACTTAAAACAAATACTTACTGAGAGGCTGTGAAGAATAATGTGTTCATGTGAAGGGGGTGAGGAGCTTGTCAATGTAACAGTACTGTTATTGGTTAAACTAAGAGGAAGGCCCTGATTGGTAGAGAGGCTGAGCGGCAATCCCTGATTGGATGTAGTCTGGAGGTAGTATGTCCCAGGTGTGCCAGTGGGCTGCAGTTGGAAAGACTAAAACGAGCAAAACATAACATAAAAAGAGTTACCCAAGAATAAACAATTTATAGTTGAACAGTGCTATGGTCATATAGGTTTCATTTATGTGCCATCACAACATTCAAGAAACCCTGTGGTTTCAAACTGAAGTGGAGTCAGAATAAAATTATGGGAATTTCCATCAACACAAATCTTACTGGCAAAATCTCAAATGTTTGTAGTGCTCCTGTGTTCAGTGTGATGGTTCCACTGTCAGAAGTAGCCGCTGAAGAATCTGAGGATGCAAGAGCAATACATGTATGACATTTTATCTTGGAAAAACACACAGTGCCTGTTTAGTTTAAATAATAGACACAATATTAAGTGCTGTTATATTGTAGTTTTTATTTTTCATGCAAGTAAAATTGCATATTTAGATGGAATGGAATGAATGAAAAAATCTGCCACAAAAATGTTTTTACCGAGGTGAGTAATCTGCAGAGGTATCTGTACAGGAATCTGAAGAGCAGCAACAGAGCTGGGGGTGGAACTGTTGCTGCTCTCCTCCAATCGTGTGAGTCGGATCTGCAGGGAAGAAGAAGACGAGGGACTCCCAGACCCAGAGGTGGTCTGTGAGGATGCTGTCAGCTCCTGTAGACCTTTAAGAAGAACTACACACAAAATAAACATCACACATGGTGTTATCCATTTGGCTGTACAAACACTACACACAACATAATCAACAAAACAGATTCAAATATATCTGTCTGTACCACTGAATGGGATCTCCTTGTGATTTGTGACTTGTCTCTTTATGCTCCACCACTTTGACCGTAACCACTGAGGAGATCGGACACTACTCCACCCTCCAGCCAGGTCCTCCCACTTGATGTCATTCTCTTCCTCCACTTCCAGCTCTGATATCCTCCAAATAAAAAAAATTGACACTTTTAATCAGTATAATGTTGGTTATATGAAAAGTTTTTTTCTACCTTTGTATCAAGTTCTGGTCATCCTCTTTTGTCCATTCTGTGCCTCCAGTGTGTTTCCAGTTCAAATAGTTTAACCACTTTGACCGACACTGTTTCTCTGAACGTGTGCGCACTTTTTCAGCAACCACTGCCCAAGATACACCTCCTGTTACCGCTGAGCCTGGTGTTACCTGCCATCTCATACACAACCTCTGCAAGACAGCGCTCCTCCTCCTCAGTCCATTTACCTGATTCAGACAAATTAGTTACAGACATCAAAGTCATGGTTTTAAAAAATGGGCTGTTGGGTACCTGTGTTGCAAGTGTCCTTCATCAGTCTACAGCGGTCTTTCACGGAGGAAGCACTACGACCTAAAGCAGCACCAATTGTGGCCCAGTCATTTCCATGCTTCTCTTTAAGCCTATATTTAGAAACATTTAATCATTTTAACCCTTTTATTTGATGAAGAAAGAACAATTCACACATTACTTACGTTTTAAGCTTCTCAATTTCTTCAGGCTTATATCTACAGGAACATAACAACATTGTTTTAACTGCCCACTATTCTAATATGATGTAACTTGTTTCTTGTTTTTATTTATTAACAGAAATTACTAACTTTCCAACATGGTTGCGGTTGTCATACATCCGTAAGACCCGCCTGTACACAGCGAACAATGGTCGGTTAAGACCCCAGGCCACAGAGCGGTAAAAGTCTTTTCTTTCTTCTTTTGACATATCAAAGATGATCTCAGCAGCACTCTCAATTCCCCGGTCCTGACATGACTGTGTAATTAGAAAAAGCAGTCCCATACTACAAAAGTAAGTTAAAAGAGAAGTGGTACCTTTACATAGCGCTCAATGTTGCTCATCAGAATGTCAATCTCCTCTTTAGACCACATACCCTGCTTCCACTTGTGACCTGAACAAAATATTTATGCAAGAACTGTTAAGTCGCTGATAAAAGAAAGGCAAAAAAAAAAAAAAAAGTATGACTAACTAAAATGACCAAAATATTTAAAAAAGCTATATTTACAGGCAGTGTCCCGAACTGTCTAATTCTCATACCTTTATTGGCCAATGTGTCTTTGTCTTCTTTGGTAGTGAACCAAGCCTGACTGACAGGTGAAATGTCTGACCTCTGGACAGACTCATCTTCTTGTAAAATCTTTTTATGCAAACACGAAAGATGCATCAAATCAGCTCAAGGCTGTACTCGCATGGATCACATATGAGTTAAGTTCAGCATGTACCTGGATATGAGCAACACCATCTTCAGACAGCTCTCCCTCTGAGGTTGCTGCCATTGTGACTTCAAAATTCCCACTGTCCTCTGACACTAAACAGAGAACACAATGCATAAACTAAAGAGATTTTTTTTTTATAATTCGATAAAATACAGATTACTGTGTAAAATTTTACTTGGTAAGGAAACCACAGAGAAATTATGAGCATCTTCTTGTTCTGTGGAGAGACAAAGTTTCTTCTGGAGCGGCTCTGAGTCTTCATCTTAACACACATACAGCACAAAACACAGACAATCACAAACAAAATTAATATATAACTTAACTGTTCAGCAATAAGGACAACGAATTGCTACCAACCATTGGGAGAACAGTGGAGAATAATGCTGCCATCACTGTCTTGGGTAAGGGTGACAGATTTGACTGTTTCCAGTTCACCATCTTCTTTTTCTGAGCTCATCCTTTTTCAGATTAGGGATGCAAATTTGGAGCAAAAGGTTGAACTGTAAACTGGAAAAAGATTTTAGAGTGAATACAATACAATACGAGAGCGATTGCCCATTACAACTTTTGGAAGTAAAATAACAAGACAAATTCCGTTGACATGTGGGTGTTCATGATCCTTTATCAATATAATGGGGGCACTGGTCATTTAGACAACGGACATGAATTGTGATTTATTCCATAGCGACACTGGAAATCATGGACAGTGAAGTGGGGTGGTCAGAAATGTGAAATCACAGAAACTAGGAAAATACTATGGATAACTTCAACACAAAATCTCCTTAAAAATTGAAAAACTGTGCGGCGCCATGTTTGAGTTAATAGACTTATGGCGTCTGGGAAGGCTGGCGGTGCCTTCAATGGTTTTAGTCTGTGTTTTTAAAGATTTTTCTACTCCACAATGCCCCAGCACTTCTCGTCAGCTACGCTTCAGAATAGAAAGTGAATTTTACTCATGATTTGGATACTTACTTCCTGTTTTTGGTCCGGGGACTTTTGAGTTACCAGGATGAAGGCAAATGCCAGGATGGAGGCTCGGCCCTGCGAAGCCTTGGGTTGCCAGATTTGAGTTTATCTGCGAGCCATTTGAAGATATTAAAGTGGTGTAGTTAATGAGCATGACAATAGATTATTGTGGTCTATAATTCTAACTACAAGTATACTTAAGTAACGTTTAGAACACTATTATAAAATTAAAACTATATTAATAAATAGTCATTGGACATGTTAAAGTAGGTTACATGAAATGGCAACCAACAGGTCCAGCATAAAAACATTTCGTGTAGAAACAACGATAGTGAAGAATAATTCAATACAATGAGGAATGTTTTCAAATAGTTAATTCAACATTTACCAATTTTACATATCGATAGGCTGACCAAATTACATAATATGTTTTAAGGGGATCACATTACTATTTTTTTCTTTGTGTTTCTTTTCTTGATATCCGGACGATTATCGCCAACGTACCAAACTTTCATTCTGCAATATCCAACCAGTATTCACGTTTTAAGCGCTTTGCAGAATATTTGCTTAAATGGGAGAACAACCTGTAAGAGTGTGAGTATTTTAATAAATCTACCTCGCAATTGAATAAATCATGTAGCCTAGAAACTTTCGTTGTGTAAACGGAATGGAAAATGTTATTGTTTTCGTTTTACCGTCTGCAGTTTAGCATGTGGGGATGTGGAAGGAAGACTGAACGCTCTCTTCAACCGCGTCCAAACAATCCAGAAGAAAGCAGGGCCCTTTGATGTGCGTCACACAGTCCAGATGAGCAAAATTGAAGTTTTGTCTTTAAGTTGCTAACAGTACGTATTATATTTTTTCAGCTGCTGCTTTGCGTTGGGGACTTTTTTGGGACGAGCCTTGAAGCGGATGAAGAGTGGCAGCAATATAAAACTGGTTTAAGGAAAGGTAAGTTAACTGACTAAAACACACTAAAGCAATTGTTGCTTTATTGGGTCTAGGGAATCACTAAAACATAATATGCTCTTCAATCAGTGCAAATTTATCTTTTAGAATACAAAACGTTACCCTTCCATTTACTACGATAAGAGGCTATTATGAAAAACCCGTTGGTCAGCCATTGCCTTGGATCATTCTCACAGGTGGCGTGTTTATGTTAAAATGCACTTCTTTAACTGGTTAGGCCTATTGTACATTTTCAGCTCCTATTCATACTTATATTTTGGGAGCAGCGAGTCCAGAGATGACAAAGTATTTCTCCAGTGCCAGTGGATGTGAGCTGTGTGAGAACATCACTTATCTGGGTATGCATGGTCTAATAATGTTGGGGTTTCTGACTACAGGCATTTGTTTAATTTGTTCTGTGCATTATAGGTCGTCAGGGTGTGTTAAGTGGAGTTTCAGGATTACAAATAGCTTATGTCAGTGGTCGAGAAGCTTCACAGGAGCCAGCACCATCCCACTGCTTCACATCCAAAGATCTGTGTTCGCTTGTTGAGCCACTGATCAATAACTCAAAGTTTAGAGGTGTGGACATACTGTTGACATCACAGTGGCCTAAAGGAGTGTGGCACTATGGCAACACCCCTGTAAGAACAATCAATCAATAAAAGTGTTTTTTAGGTGTACATTTTTATATACTATTTTGCATTTGAATTAATTAAGGCTGTTTGTTTCAGGAAGTGGACACAAAAACATGTGGCAGTAACTCCATTGCTAGCCTTGCAGACAAGTTAAAGCCAAGATATCACTTTGCTGGTCTGGAAGGTATTTACTATGAGAGACTTCCCTACAGGTAAACAAGAGACAGTTTTCATACCTGCAATATTTAAAACATACCTTCACCTATTGGTTTATATGTCATCATATTTAGTATTTTGGTTTTTACTTATGTTTTTCCATGTGGTATTTTGGCTTTTTTTCTTCTTCTCAGGAATCATGTTGTTCTCCAAGAAAATGCTCAACATGTCAGCCGGTTTATTGCTTTGGCAAATGTTAGCAACCCAGCAAAGAAAAAGGTTTGTAGTAGCTTGTTTATTAGAGGTGTACTGTTTCCTTGAACTCTTTCGGGAACTTGAAGTCCAAGTTCCCGAAAGATCCCGGGAGCTATGTTGTTGGGGGCTTTATGCCCTTGGTAGGTTAAGGCAAACAGGTCCGGGGGGACAGCTCAGACTAAGAGCTGTTCAAATTCTTCTTATGATGAGTTTAAGAACGAGACCAGTTACGTCACCCGGATTGGCATCACCGGGGTCCCACCCTGGAGGCAGACCTAGGGTGTGTGCCATTGAGCGTCTGTCTGGCCGGGAACAAGCCCAACGGAGTGATGTGGGGATGTCCTCCCATGGACCCACCACCCGTGGGAGGATCTATAAGGGGCCAATGCAAAGAGTTCTGGGTGGCACTCAAAGGCAGGGGCCTTGACGACTGGATCTCCGTATTGAAACTGGCTCTGAGGACATGGAATGTCACCTTGCACTCTAGCTTGTGCGAGAGGTTAAGGCTAAAGGTTACTAACTAGATATAGTTGGCGCCTTGGGGTCGATGACAGGTCTCACTGTGGTGTCGGCCTATGGACCAAACAGCAGTGCAGAGTACCCGACCTTCTTGGGAGTCCATTTTTCTACTGAGGGACCTCAGTGCCTCTGTGGGCAACGACAGTAACACCTGGAGAAGGGTGATCGGGAGGAACAGCCTCCCTGATCTGAACCCGAGCCGTGTTCTATCGTTGGACTTCTGTGCTAGTCACAGTTTGTCCATAACGAACACCATGTTCGAGCACAAGAGTGTCCATCAGTGTACGTGGCACCAGAACACCCTAGGCCCGAGGTCGATAATTGACTTAGGCCTCATATTATCTGACCCCCGGCCATGTGGACACACAGGTGAAGAGTGGGGCAGAGCTGTCCAGCAATTACTACCTGGTTGTGAGTTGGATCCGCTGGCAGAGGAGGAAGCTGGAAAGACCTGGCAGACTCAAATGTATAGTGAGGGTCTGCTGGGAACGTCTGGCAGACCCCTCTGTCAGGGGGACTTCCAAACCGCACCTCCCAGAGGGCTTCTCCCATATTCTGGGGTAGGCTGGGGAGTGGACTACGTTCTCTGCCTCTATTGTCGATGCAGCTGCTTGTAGCTGTGGTTGTAGCGTGTATGTGTGTGGTATTTGTCAAAATTGTTCAGTATATATTGTTTTTTAACATAATAGTTTGAGACAATAAGAACTACTATTTGATTACAGTATTTGTATGCCTTCAACATTATTCCTATGAAGAGCATGGATCCAGTAGAGTTGGTTAAACAGCCTCAGGATGTGACAGAAAATCCCTACAGAAGAGTAACAAAAGACAAAACAGATGCAGCAAAACCAAGCTTTAAAAGTGAAGAGGAGGTGAGCATGGCTACTAGATTGTGTGGTAAAATGTTTTAGTTTTGCTTTAATAAATCAACATTGTGCTTTTTTCACTCTCTTCAGGAACCTGTCAGTCAGTTTTTCTTTGACCTGAGCAGAAATCAAGGCAACAGAAAGAGGCCATCAGATGGAAGAGGTCGAGGAAGAGGTAACTTCGGTGAGAGTGGGGGCAAACAGCCTCGCAGACATCGTAAGTGCAATCACAGCAAAAATTACTAACCCACTCTGAAACTGTAGACTCCACTGCAGATTACCAACTATATTTTTTCTCCTCGTATACAGCCCAGCCAACAGGGCCGTGTTGGTTTTGTTTGGCCAGTCCTCAGGTGGAGAAACACCTGGTCATCAGTATAGGCACACATGTGAGTTTACTAAAACACATAGGAATCTGGTGTACTTTAAAAGTAAATCCAACGTACAATATCCTGCTCACCTTGCAGTGCTACCTGGCCCTGGCTAAAGGTGCCCTGACATCCCGACACCTACTCATTCTTCCCATCGGCCACTACCAGTCAGTTGTGGATTTGGCCTCAGATGTGGTAGAGGAGATGGAAAAATACAAAGCAGCACTCAAAAGTTTCTATAAGAGCAAAGGGGAACGCTGCATCCTATTTGAGAGGAATTATAGGAGTCAACATTTGCAGCTACAGGTACAAAATACTAATGTAATTGTTGTTAAAATATAACTTATTTTAATGTATATAATCCAGGTTGTTCCAGTGCCATTGAGCTGTTGCACTACAGAGGATATTAAAGAAGCATTTATGGTCCAAGCTCAGGAGCAGAAAATGGAGCTAATGGAAATCCCGGAACATACAGACCTCAAACAGGTAGTTTACCAGTTTTTTGCAAGAAGATGACAGGAAGAATTATTTCAGTGCTACACAAATATATTTTTTACAGATTGCTCCTCCAGGGACTCCTTATTTCTATGTGGAGCTTGATTCAGGAGAGAAACTGTATTATCGTATTCAGAAGCATTTTCCTTTGCAGTTTGGCAGGTAAGTGTAAAAATACATTGCATTATTCACAGAAAGTGTTAATATAACTTAAGTATATGTATGTGTTTAGGGAGGTTCTGGCCAGTGAGGCAGTGCTGAACATTCCAACCCGGGCAGATTGGAAGGAGTGCAAACAGAGCAGAGAGGAGGAGGAGGACTGCTGCAAACAACTGAGAGATGACTTCCAGCCCTTTGACTTTGCATGGGAAGACTAAATATACTTTAGCCCGTTCTTTTTCTACAAATTCACACTTTAAAGGTCTTGCTAAAATATCAGTTAACTATGAAAGACAAAACTACATTAGATCAAACATATGCTTTATTAATGTTAACTGACACTTAAATGCACTTGGCAAATTATCTTTGTTAATAAAACTATAAAACAAACAATCCCTTGAGGTCATTAAAAAAATAAAAGAATAAAACTTTCAGTATAGACAAGCGCATGTAAAATGAAAAAAGCTTAGTCTGTGAGATTCAGCATTTTCCAGGGGTTACATGCTCATATTACATTTTTACCATTTCCATGAACAAAAAACTGCAGGGACTGGGTCACTTTAAATGCTTCATATTCTCAGAAGTCAAAGTTGGCAGTGGTTTCATGCAGAGATCCAAGTGAAGCATAACTCATAGCATGGGAAGTCTGTGTTGGGGTGGAGCCAATGCAAAATGCTACATTTAGACAAAGTCTCTGGACTTCTTAATAGCACAGCAGAGCATCATGCTGAAGATCATGCCAAAAATCTGAAAAGTCAGACAGATCATAAGTCTTACAGTAAAAGAAAGCCCAATTTAACAAAAGGGATGCACAGAAAAGGCAAGTTTGATATTTAGAAACGCATGCCCCTACACACAAAACTGAGTGACACATTAATGAAAATACTGATCAAAAAATAGACTTACCATGACTATTCCAATACCAATGCCAACACCGCCAATGATGTGAAGTTTACTGTTGAACATCTCATCAATAGCAGCTGGGCAGTTCTAATAAAACAAAAAGGTGGTAGTATGGCAGGCAGCTATCAACAGCTGGGATTGTAAAATGCCCTGAATATATCCAATGAGTAGATGACACAGTACAATTTATTTAAGTTTAAATCTGAAATTTCCTTTAAAAAAATAAAACAAAAATCCTCTACCACTGTCCCTCTATGTGGCTGAATTTGTGGACTCAAAAAACAGCTCAAGACATTTTAATTAGGAGAAGCTTTTGGTTGACTGGATTTACTGTTGTGATGAGAACTTCCAGTCCTTCCTTTTTGGGGCAGGTGTCTTTTGCAGCATCAATCACGGTTCCAGTGGTACCGCAGCAGTTCAGCTATAAAGAGTTTAAAAGGATTAATAACATTTTCCCCACACAATCAATAAAAACATTATAGGCCAATGGGTGTGATTACCCCAAAGTGAATCAGGCGGAGTGTTTCCTTCAGTGCCTCCTGTTTGGTGTCCTTATAGTTATTATAGGTTTGCTTATAAAATTCTGTTACATCCTCAGTCACCTGGATACACAGATGACATGCACTTCATTAGTACCAAACAAACCACACAGATTACAAGAATTCCACCACTTGTATACCCTGTCTTTATTGGATAAGCCCCAGATTCCAGCTGCCACTTCAATGGCAAAGATGATTAGGAGAAAGAGGAAAAACTAAAAGGAAAAACAACATTACAATTATTCCTTTTTACCTCCTGAAAGTTAAAAAAAATAATAAATACCAATCCAAGCATGCATGGGGATTCTTTGATGGCTCCACAACATCCCAGGAAGCCAACCACCATCATCAGTGCCCCAGCTGCAATCAGAATGTACACACCTACAAAAAAAATGTTTCACTGTTATGTTTGATTTGTTAACACTATTGCTTGTATATAGATGCTTTTATTTTGTTTATTTTTTTTTCCCTGTAGCTTTGAGAATGAATCATACTCAAAACAATGAAGCACCACAATAGATTCAGCGTGACACCAACCCAGTGGCCTCATCGCAAAAGATTTCCCTCCTTCAGTTTGTCATTTGGGTCTGTACGTTTTCCACTGAGTGCTCTGTCGCCTGACCGCCTACTTCGCTTATCATTTGATTAAAGCGAGATACAAAGAGCAAAGGGAGGGAGCCAGTCTGTCTTTCTGTGTCAGTCCCACTGAGAATACACAAGTCACTAAACAAAGGCAGCCCTGTTTACAGATGAAGAATGAGAGCAATGTGTGGAGGGCCTTGACCAACGCAACTGCTTACTGTAGACTCACTGTGGCCACAGCCTCAGTTGCCCTGCATATAGCACTTTCTCAGTTTGTTTTTATTGTTTGTTACTTAAAAAAAAAGACAACATCAGAGCATAGCCATGGCTTTAGAGCTGATTGAGTCACATCAACATTAAAAGTCTTGAGATACAGTAAGTTAAATATGATTAAGTTTAAATATATTGCAAGCAATAATTTTTTCCTTGAAGTTTTCAAATATGCTGGAGCCGATCATTTTATGCCAAGGTCTGATGTCCCGCTATAATGCCAAATTATTTATCAGACCACACTCAAATAATTTAATTCAATAATTATTTTTATTTCACATAAAAAATTATTATTTCAGTGCTTCAGAGCGTAGAAAGTATAAAGTTGTGTCAGCTATCCCATTTCAAGCGATATTTACAAAACATTTACAATATTCATTGTAAATGATGAGTTGAGAAGAAAGTCAGTAACTCATTCTAAAACAAACTGTGGTCACAAGGTCATGCCATGTTTAGAAGAACATACCAGTCAAAAAGACTGAGGGAGAGTCCTCTCCTTCAAAAAGTCCTGACGTCCTGGAGTCAAAGCGCAGCCACAGCCCCAATGCCAGAACCCCCGTTCCTGCCAACTGGAAAAAGACAACCATGATACCGATAAGATGTTTGACATTTCTTTTGTAAATCAGCACCCTGGATTTACACACAGACAAAAAGGTTTAAAGTGTTGACCAAATAAGTGTAGAACATAACTGCTGACTGAGTGATTATCACAGGTGGGAAAACATAGGAGTTAAATGTCATCCTCAAATCATACTTACATTTTCACCTGATTTTAGGTGTTGAAGTCTGCTACATTTGGTTTGTGACCTTGTGTGAAGACTAAACTTGTGTGTATGCTGTGTGAACTCTAATGACCTCCCACAGGTCTGTTAAAAAAGATGCCTCTACCGGTTGTTCACATTAGTACAGTAAAGCCACAGAGGCATCAACAAGTTAAACTGTGAATGGCTTGTTAACCATTTGAAGAATTTGAATTTGTCACCCAACTACATCTTAGTCATTCAAGTGTGGTCATACCAATCATTTTAACATTGAAAAAGATGTGGACAAATAAGTGAACATATTCATGTGGTCACTTGCTGTCTATAGCAACAACCATATTATTATCCCCTCTAATTCTCACCAAAACAGTCATTGGACATAGGACATTGTAAACACAGGATCATTATAATTATGTGGTTTTACAGTAGCAAACCAAAGAGATAAAGGGATTTCTTGATACATCAAACTACTTCGTGGTGATAGGTCTATAAAGGAAACTGCTTATATAACCAGTGTCAATTTGAGGCATGAAAGAAATATTACTTCATGAATAACCAAAACTAGTTTTTCCAGAAGCAGATGCAGTGTTCATTTGGACAGGGTTGGGTGAGACAAGACCCAAGACATGCAGTGATTAACACATTTAAAACAAAATCCTAGAGACAAAAATGTGCTAGATTAAGATACGGTTTACGTCTCGATGCTCAATTTCCGTAATCCCGAAAACCTCAACCACCACCATGACAACCACATACCCAGAAGATAAAGTTGAACACAAACACCAGGTATTTGATACACTGCATTCCTTCCATGGCTCAAAAAGTCGCCTTTTTTCCTGCGTATTGGTAGAAATTATACAGTCTTCGAGCAAAATGGAAAAACATACAGCGACCACGCAAAGAGTAATTTTACAAAGTCTTTAGTGCACCACACCCGCGCGGATACACCTGGGTGTTGAAGGGAAACCGGGGGAGGGACGGGAGGAAGAGGCGGCGCTCCTTTAGACCTACGCCCAGCTGCGCACAATTAAAAGACGATTGAAAGAATAAAAGACACGTGTACGTTTTTTAATATGACGGACATGGATTCACAGGTTCAGAAATGTGTCCCATATAGACTAGCCTGTGCCTATAAAGAGACATCCTACCTTAAAAAAACAGTGTTATTCATCATCATATGTCATTTACCTCCATAAACCACCGTCAGACCCACCTGGCAACAAAATAAGATTCTGGAAAGCTAGTACAATGATTTGTTGTGTACAATGATTGTTTTTTACTCATTAAATTGAGAAGAAAATTTATACTGTCAATTAAGGGTTCTATATTACACAAAATGGCTCCTGTGAGCTGTAAGCCATGCTTTTGTGACCTCCACAAAAGCATACCTGTTGTTTATTGTTTCGTTAGATAAATCTTGAATTAATTACATCTCCAAAATGCACCGTTCCACCTTGTGTTGTCATGAAGCAGTAGTTTTACCTTTTACCTTTTGTATGAGATTCGCAATTCCAGGGCCGAAATGATCCACATAATTAGTGACCGTGTATGGATTTTAATAACAGAATGGAGCACTTCCTGAATTGCCACATGGCATCACAAAATGGAACTAAGTGTTTTCTATTTGAGAAAAGAGCTCAGTCTGTGTTAAACGTGTAAATGAAACAAAACACAACTCCAGGTCGGAGGAAACAGCATTATAACATAGATCAGAAACAGGGTAATATTTGTAATGGCCGAGCACCAAAGTACATCTGTGACATGTTAGTGTCATATGAACCATCTCGCACTCTGAGGAGCTCAGGGACCGACCTCCTGCTGGTGCCCAGAGTCAGAACTAAACAAGGGAGTCAGCGTTTCAGGTTCATGCAGCTAAAACCTGGAACAGTCTTCCTGAACATGTGAGACAGACTCTTCTGTGACGCTGTTTAAATCCAGGCTCAAAACATTTCTGTTTAACTGTGCATATAACTGAAAGGTTTTCATTCCGCACTCTTCTCTCCAATTTATGTCTCTCTTTTTTAATTTTAATCTTCATGATTTTTTATGTTTTGATTTGTTTTTATTATGATTTTAATGTATTTCTTATTCTGTAAAGCACTTTGAATTACTTTGTGTACGAATTGTGCTATACAAATAAACTTGCCTTGCCTTGCCTAATATGGGCCATATTACCCTGTTTCTGATCTATGTTATAATGTTGTTTCTTATCTTTAACCTAACATGGGCTAGGTAAAATAAATAGGGTACAAAATACGCCTATGCTTATGAGTAGCCTTTCATTAACTAATTTAATAGCCTATACGCTGACAAATGCTACTCAGTCTAGGCCTATATAAATAAAATGGTGACATTTTTCAGACTCACCCAAAGGACAAAGTTGAAGATGAAGAGCGCATACTTGACGCACAGCTCCCAGCTGCTCAAGGCGGTCATCCTTCACTGCAAATAATAAATCTGTGTAAGCTGGCTTCTTCTGCAGATCAGACTTTTGAGGCTGCCTGAACTTTTGAACTTTGTGCCCTTCAGTGTCCCTTTTCTCACCAGCACAGGATTTTGCCACCCAATAAGTTACAGAAATGTTTGTTATTATTTCAGCCTGACATAGGTTCATCACAGTGCTCAACTCAACAACTCTCTCTCTCTCTCTCTCTCTCTCTGTGTGTGTGTGTGTGTGTGTGTGTGTGTGTGTGTGTGTGTGTGTGTGTGTGTGTGTGTGTGTGTGTGTGTGTGTGTGTGTGTGTGTGTGTGTGTGTGTGTGTGTGTGTGTGTGTGTGTGTGTGTGTGTGTGTGTGTGTGTCGCTGTTTCTCTCTGGGACCAATGAGATCGTTCATTTGTGAAAGACAAAGCTGACAGTGTTGGACCAACAGCCCACAACTGTTGTTTTGCAGCTGCACAGTAGAAGGAAAGGAGAACACTTTCTCATTTACATTAGTCCATTCTATAAATAGTTGCATTGAGTTTTGATTATTATTGCTATTTTTAAAAACTCTATACAATTATGGGGAGAAACTACTGAAAAACGACCTTGTAATACATTAACACAGCCGCTAGGTGGCACGGCCGTACGCTTCTTAATCTGTGTGAGTTTGTTCGAAATCCGAAATTCATTGTAGTTTTATAACAACTCAATAATCTACATATCATTCGAGAAATTAAATGTAGCCTTTGAATCACTGCCAATTCCAAGACCTAGACCTATATTACATGATGTTTAATCCAGAGTTCACTTCACTACATTGTCTTATCTCCAGCCAATCAGCACCGGCCCTCTCCCTTAGCTGACCAATCACAGACTTGTGCGACAGGTAGGCTTAATGACAGCCAGGACTGTGGTAGCCTACAGCCTACCCCCACTGGCTAAGAGGAGCCACATCAAACTAGTAGTAGGCTACCGTAATTTTGCCTGTAAGGCCTAATCCTTTTTAATAGAAAGCCAGGCGGGCCAGGCCTCTCTCCGTGGAAGATTGACTCTTCACCTTTAGTCTGTGCCTATGGCCCGGGCCGGCCCCGGGACACTGCTCTATCGCCGAAACATCAGACTGGACTCTTTCCTGAAGCGTAACACGGAACGGGCACTGTACGAGCGCATCCGGACCTATGAACCATGTGTGGTCAAGTCGGACTCCATTAATAAAGTTTACATGCACGTGGTGATGAGCGATGAGCGTGTGTACCTAACTGAGTTCCCGCCACGCACACTCACCTCTGCCTTCGGGTTCAGCTCCGTGAGGGCCATAGAGCTGGTGAGTGAAGCTGCCACAAGTCATGCACTTTTATTAATGACCCTTTACTGGATGCGTGGGTCACATACATTGACTGATCATATTAGCCTATAGTCCCACAATCAACAAACATCTGTTTTTGCTCTGTGTGCTTTTGTGTTGTCGTATACATGAAGTGGCAGCATAGTCAGTATTGTTTATATAGCTGAATTGAAGATTTCTCCAAAATCTAGACTCATTAGGCAGATAGGAGAGTTGCCCAAGACACGATTAGTTTCACCAGAATGTTATTGATTTGGGGAAAATCTTTCCTGTGTTGTATCACAAAGTTCACATTAAGTAACTGGCTTATGCAGGTTGATCCCTGTTGATCCTCCTTAGATTACACTTATCACTTACTCCAGGCTTTCACTGTCGGGCCTCTCACTTGAGTAATTAAAAACACATTACATGCAGATCTAAGAATAAACCACAGCTGATGACATTGTGCAAACATGGTACTACTGTTAGACTGTTCTTCCACATACAGTAAGATGATGTATACAAAATATATAACCCAATATTTTTATAACCTTGTTTTTGCAGATCAATGACCTCCCAGACTTCCTCAGTGGCAAAGATAGGGAGCAGTGTCAGCACATAAAGATCATTTATGTCCCAGAGAAACCTGTTTCAAAGGCGTATCATGATGATCAACTGTTACCTGCACTTCCCCCATCTCACACCTTTAGCCCTCTTACATCAGAAGGTAAAAGTTTTTTTTCATTATCAAGACTCAAACACTGGAAATTATCTCCTGTATAAATTGAGGAAGTTGGTACTAGTGATCTTTCATTAAAATTAAATAGAAAACCAGTGGCTCATGTGGTGCCTGCTTCTTTGCGGAGATGTTTTTACCTGTAACACTAACTGCCTTGTGTCGTCACCTCCACAGGATATGCTGCACACAGGTAAGCTTCACAACACACAAAACTAGTAGAGTAGAGGGATTAATTGTTGTCTTTTTCTCCTGCTATTTAGAAGCACAGTCCTGGAATTAAGTCCCCCCCCCCAAAAAAACAAAAAAAACAGTCTTTTGATTGGTGAAAAGTCCTTAAACTGTTGCCTATAGCAGGATGCTGAAACCTATGAATACTTTCTTTTTCTTTAAATGTTTAATGAGAACTTGTGTAAAGTTTAGAACAACACTAAAGTGTAAATTGTGCCTGGGAGTCAGGGAGACAGACAAACTCTTAAATCCATAAAACATTTAATAGGTTGTTGTCATAAGGGGGAGGTCCTACAAGTGTTGCTATAAGTTTGTACAACTACACTTAATACAACGTTTAGACTTCAGTATACTAGGCTTGGCAAGTCAGGTATAAAGTAAGGAAAAAGTTAAATTAGTTATGAGCCACTGGAGACACTAAAGGCGTGTCAGTGTACAAGCCAGCAGTGTGACAGTCAAGTGTGACAAAGATATCACTTGCATGGTCACATCCAAGACATGGCCAAAAGCGTTTCAGATAAAAAATGAAATTTCCAGAAACTTACATACTGCTTTTAATCTTAATTATGCAGTTCAAATCTATCTATTTGTGCTAAAAATCATGGGTGAAGGAAAGACATAACTGGTGTTGTACAAAATGTATGCATGTCATATATCAGAAGTGTAATTACTTTATTATGGATGGGATGTAGTTCATCCCATCCCAAGTCATACGTGTCCTACATAAATGTCCTACCATATTTGTCTTCCTGGTAAATGGTGCTGTGAGCCTGGTCTTCCATACTTTTTATTCAATAATTGTAATCATAATAATACTTTGGCTTTATATTGTGATTTTTGGACACTCAGAGATACTTTCCAGTGTATTATTCATTCACTCCACTCTCAGTGGTGGTAAGTTACTATGTAGCCACAGCTGCCCTGGGATAGACTGATGGAAGCAAGGGTTCCAATCTGCAGCATCAGCTGCTCCGATCACCACTGAATACTCACACACACACACACCACTTTTACACTAGGCAGTGTGGATGAAATGGCTTGCTTTTGGCATCTGATATTCCCAATGGTTTCCCATCCAAGTACTAATCAGGCCGGGCCTTGCTTAGCCTCTCAGATCTGACAAGATTAGCCTAAGTGAGTATGGCTGCAATTATGCATTTTAAATCTTAGGTTAATAAAAATGTACTATATATAGTTATTTGTGATGATTTTCATATTAATCAGCTCACCAATCTCTGTTTACACACCTAGATCCAGCCGGTCCGCCTCTTGTCCTAATGGAGAGACTCTGGGTCTCCTAGCCCCCCAACCTCCAGCCCGACCTCACTCCTCTGCCTCTATGTACCCTCTTACCTCCAATCAGCGCACAAAAAACTCACTATCTCCTAAGGTAATTTAATAATGTTAGAGCTACAAATTGAACCTTGTATTGATATATATTCAGAAATGAATTCCTAAATGCCTATAAAATCCAAACATAAATGTAACATGATTGATATAGAATCTGTAGTTTAAAATTCCAAAAAGTCAGGTTACTGATTTGTTGACCTGATTTATGGTCAGTGTCTCTGTAATTATTGGGCTTGTCCCATGAAACAAAAACTGTCACAAAGCTCAATGTCTTTTTGCACCAACATAAAACTTAAATAAAGTGACATGATATTTTTTTACTTTAGCTCTAAAAATGTGTGCCAATATAAAACCCCAAAGATGTTATAGTTGTCAGTTCTCAGTTGTTTACGATAGCCATAATATTAATATGGCAGCTTAGTTGAATGTCCCTTTGAATCTTTGAAGTCATATGTCCCCTGTCCTCCATCGGAAATTATAACATCATCAAATTCTAAAACATGAACACAGCCTATACTGCGGTCCTTTTTACTAATGACTTTACGTTAATATTAATGTACTAAATATGTTCTAAACTATCTTGCCTAGGTGCCCAGGAGAATTGGTTTGTTGTTGTCACGTCTTTTGAAACAAGACAAAGGTTCCAACATAGCTGAACTGCATTTATACGCACTTTCACCATTCTCCACACTTTATGTTAATCTACAGAGTTCCTGGACCAGCTTCATCATTGTGAGTCTTTGAATTGCAAAAATAGTACCAAAAGTAATACAAAAAAATTATTATTTATCCATAGTCACCTTTCACTTTTTTGTAGAAGTCTACCTTGACTTTAGACCCAGTATATAGGAGAAAGTATTGTACTTCACCTCCAGACATCAGGTAAGAAATTTCCTGGGGTCATAAAAGTCATAATATTTTAAATTTAACATTACAGTCCATTGTTCTCTGTTTAGCTGGGAGCAAACATCCCATTTGTTTTCTCAATTACAAGCTGATGTGTTACGGAAGGGCATCAGTGTGGAGAGCCTATATCTGTTACTGCAGGAGCTGTGCACTGCTGCTCATAGAAATATGACATTACGCAGACTCTTCTGGAGAGTAAGAACTACTTTATGTCCTACGTGTTATGTACAGCAACATGTCTGTATCTTAAAAATATTTGGTCTGTCTCTTGGTCTTTATCATAGTCCAGTGAGTTGTGCGTGTTCCTGGTCCAGACTCTTGAGGATTGCCTACCTGGAGGTCGCAGTGTGATTTACACAACAGATCACCTCTTGTAAGCTCTACTATGTGTGCTGTAGGGATTTCCAGACATACTTAGAACAGAGCAGACTAAATCCTCTTTGAGATATAGTATGTCCCTCTTTGAACTGGCGCTGCACTTGCCATAACCTCTGACCTAGACAGTTACATACACACCCAAAATCAGATTATCATCAGATTGTTTGGATTAAATACTACGAAATTAGCATGTAGACAAAGTAGCAAAATTATCAAATTTCTCTCTGAACATAGTCCCTTTGATTGCTCACATCTTATTTTGCTATTTGCATGTCATTAAAAATCTTATAATAATCTGCTTTTGGTGTGCATGTAAATAAAGCTGGTTTTGTTTGTATTGTTTTTACAATTGTAGAAACATGTTACATCCATAATGGACATGTATTTTTTATGTAAAGCATATGAATGATTTCTTAAGTATTTCTTTTTTATTTGTAGAATGAGCACCGTGATTGTCCAGACGCTGGCCATCATGTTTAGAGAGACTGAGGTGGAACCAGCCAGACTGAGTCTACTCTCTGCAAACAAGTAAAGAGTTTTTGAATTTGAACAAATACAGGCAAAATAATCAAATAAATAACCAAAATAATCAAATAAAACACTCTGAACTGTTCCTACAGTGGTGCCCTTGTTACCAGGATGCTACTAGCTTTGATTCGTGATCCAGGGCCTCAGACTCCAAATGCCACCCAGGTGCACTTTATCTTTATTTATTTTACTTAATTCTCATTTACAAATATGAAGTGGCCAAGAGGCACTACTTTGGTCACATTAATGATATAGCAGAGTGGAGTTTAATTGTAAACAGTTTCTGCTCTTCTCACAGACTGATGTTTCTCTTGTTGAGTATTTGGACTCTGCCTGTTCATTGCTCTTTGAACTGCTGCTTCAAGGTCAAGAGGTGTGTGGTTTAATTCATCCACAAAATGAAGTATTTTTGTTTATAATAAAGACTACTTTGAATTTCTTTGTGACTTCCAGAAAAGCAAGTTTTCCTTTTCTGAGAGTATCTTGTCTGTTGGGTGGATACTTCAAGAGCTACAGCCACATCGTCACCTGGTAAACTCAGTCAACAGCCGATTATTACTAAAGCTAACTAAAGCTTACTAAACAAAATGCATTTATTGTTAGTAGTGGTATTAGTAGTATTATTACTAGACACATTAGGCCTATAATATTATTACCTTATATTATTGCAATAAAACAGTAAATATTATTAGCTTATATTATTACCTTATTCAAAATCTGTATTTTTTTGTAGTTATCCTTTATTGGTTACCAGACCCAACAGGTAGTACTGGTTCTATCCAGTCCACCACACTACATATTAAGTCCAGTACAGTCGGTCCTGTTGTTTCAACGATGTCACCTCCTGCTGGTTAGTCTGCAATACAGCAAACATCTCATGCAACATCTGAAGTCCAACTTCAGAGATGATTTCAAGTAAGAAACATTACATTTTCAAACATATGCTTTTATTCTTGATAAAGTAAATAATACAATTTGATTATAGGTACTCAGTAAATGTTGTAAGTGTTGAGCCAAAGCTGCCTCCTCACTATCCCATCAGCCCAATGATACGACAGCTGGTGAAGCAGATTCTAACTCTTATCCTGCACTGGGACACTTCTTGAGTTGTATTCCAACTCACTGCCTTTATGCTTAATATTACTATGCACTTTATTAGCACACCAGACTGTTCCTGAAATGTACTATATGAACAAGATTTGTACCTTGGTTCCCAATAAAAAGCCAAACATTGTGTTTGTTTGCTTTTATTACTATAAATTCTATAAATAATAATAGATTTTTAAAAAGGTGCACATTTTTTGCAGCTTTTCTATAAAAAAAATACAATTTTATATGAGATTTGTAAGCCACATATGCTGAAATATGTAGACAGCCATATAAGACATGGTAATGTTTTTATTTTATTTTATGGACTGCATTTTTGTGTTATTGGTATATTAAATGTGTGTTCATTCACAACATCAAAGGAAACAATCAAAATAACTACATAAAGTACAAGGTCAGATATTTGTACAATGAATATTTACTGGAAATGGACTGAAAGCAATATGTGCTTTTTCCATAAGCCTTTCGTTTACCGGTAAGTGTGAGAGCATTTGGTGCAGACTGACCTTTGTGAACACATGGATGTTCCTGTATTAATGGGCCAGAAGATCCTATCAGCATGTTTGGGTAGTGGTAATATAATATATGGATGTAATTTGTATGTCATGGTGCAGTTGTCTGTCTATAGCCCACTGAAAAACAAAGATCTAATGGTTTTGTTTGTTGTACATCTCCCTGTTGTTCAGCCTTATCTGTTCTAGGAAGAAAAACAAACACAGTGGTCACTTTAAGCCTAAAATAGAAATGTCCAGGGTATCCAAATGTTTATACACTATCTAGAAGGGCAATAAATCCAACAAATTTATACCACCTTTGCCACGAGTGATTAATATGGCTGCTATAACAAAAATAAATCCTGTGTTCTCTGATTACTCAACAAAGCCTATTTATTTAGATTGTATGGAGGAAAATTGGAGGAAACTGTAACTGGATGCTTGCAGTATAAAAACAAAACTAATCTTTCTCCATAAATGTTGCACTCTAAATGTATAGACACTGAAAGGTCCTGGTCCAAAGAAGTTTAGATTTTTTCAGTTAAAACAACACTGTACGAAAATACAGGCTATGTACTTCACACTTTGCATTGGTGTAGGGTTTGGGATGACATTTGGATAAATTAACTTTCACCATCAGCAACAGGAGAGGAACACATAAAATTTGCCTTTTTCTGTTTTACTTGCTTGTGTTTTGCAGTTTTAAACAATTTAATTTCATTTTAATCGGTTAAATTATGTAAACTTTTATATGCCCTCAGTGTGATCACTGAGGTTTGCAAAATTCCAGATTTTAAAATATCTTCCGTTTCCTTTATGTGTGGCATGTTTGTTTGGGGTACACGAGCACTGACCTATGCTCCTTCTTGGACACTGTAGAGTTGTAAATTCCAGAGAGATCACTAGCCTCCTTTGCTATTGCTTTTATGCACAAAAATTTTAAAATGTTAATGTTTCCTAGCTAAAGTGTGAGTCTTTTATCCCAGATGACCTTTGAAATTTCTATACAGCTCATACACTGCTTTTTATCTAAAACCTTTCATTTACATAACTGTGGATGTTCTGTGCCAATATCTTGTGAAATACAGAGAAAAGTCAAGGTTTGTTTTGTTTTAACAGCAAAACAGCAAGACTAAAGAAAATTTAAAAAATGAAAAGCCTTCTATTGACAGAAAGCTTTCCATTTGACAAAAACATTGTTCAGTTGATGAAAGAAACCTATTTGGGGGCCAAGAGATTGAGAATTGCGCATACACTTTAAAGGAGGGAGTCAAAGGGAGGACTTTGTAAGGATGGGAAGAATTCTTCTTTATAGGAATAAGTGTCATTAGGTTATGATGATCAAGTATTTGTCAGGGGTTTCAGTGTTACATTATATCACTGTATTTTATGATTTTCTCTCAGTCCAAAAATACATAAAAGACAATTTGGCTGAAGTGTTTCACAATATGGCACTGAACTTATTTATCCCCAATGTTTGTATGTGTGCGTGCATGTGTGCATATGCGTGTATGTGCATAAGTGCGTGTGTGTTTGTTTGTTTGTTTGTTTTTTCAGTTTTTCTTTTAGCAATACAACATAAATGCAAGTATGCCATGCTGTTGAACATTCCAGGAAAAGCTATAACATCTCCATAGATGGAAACACACATATGGCAAACCACAACAAGAAAAGTTAGCACACCTTTAAGACACACACACAAGCAAGATCAATTGCTATCAAATTAGTGTAAATTTACTGCTGCTTTCATTCATTTTAACTGCCTCTTACACTATCCATGTCATTTGTCAGAGGCCATGTTTCCTCCACCTGACTGTACTTAAATGTTTCTTCCATAAAAGGTGAAACAGATAAAGCAGAATAACACTTACAAACAGAAAAATCACTCCTGTCTTTCATTTAAACCAAAATGCAAACAGTGCCTTCCTCTGGTGCCCATTTCAGTAAACACAGCACAAAAACACATGAGCTTCTACTGCAAATAGGCTCTGGTGTAGATTAGGTTAGCATTTTAACAAAGAACATATTCAAAAAGGCTTTTCAAAATCCCAAATCCTTCAGAGACTTGTGAGTTTGAATATATATTGTTCATTTGTAACAACAAGCAAGAATTGACAGGAAGCCACGTTTTTGGCACGACAACTTACAGCCACGGTAGAACTGAGATCATGTTATTACTTCTTTTTTTTCCCCCTATCATTCTAAACTGATGCACTAATTTTGAAAGATTTTTCTGTATAGTAGTTGTATTCAACTTGGAATTCACACAGGAGGTAAAGATATACAAAATAAAGCATTTGTGGTAGATCAAATAAATAAAAATAACAAATAATAAATAACAAAAAATAAAATCCTGAAGCCCATGGTTTCAAGTCTTATCCTGAGAGTGCTAGCACCCCTGAATTTTACCATATAGAGAGATGCACAGAACGGCATTTAATTTGTTTTAAATGTCACATAACTGGCAATGACTTGTGTGAGATCAATTGTTCAGTAATTCATACAATACATTACCTGGTCAGACAAAATCGTCCCTGACCTACCAGATTGGGCCCTTTACCTGTTTCACTTGATTTCCCAATAACATATTATTAGTTTATAATTGCATTGTTATTATTGTGATTTAGTTTTTTGTTTTGTTTTGTTTTTTCAGGGGGCATGTGCCCACAAACCCACTCACTTCGTGTAAGAAATAATTAACCACACTGCAAATTCATTGAGGAAGCTGCAGCTGAAGCTACCTTACAGACAACAACATGCCGAAAACAGAAGCATAACCTCCTTAATCATGTTGTACAGGCATATAAAATTATGTGCATAATAATAATAATAATAATAATGATAATAATAATAATAAAAGACCATGCCAAAGAGAAAAGGGGTGGGATTTATAGAGATTTCTTCAATATTAACACAGAAGTCTTTTATTCTATTGTTTAATCTCTCAACTATTCAGTTCATTTACAGTGGCATTACTCATGTCAATTATAAACGTATTTTAATGAATAAAACACAAGGCCATTATTGTTCTATTTTACTAGCCAGAATGAGTGTTACATGCAGCTTAAATTACTGGACACATGGTTGGCGCAGGTATTGGTTCAGGATGTACTGCAGGCTAACATTGGTTTGCCTCTGGCTTCACCTGTATGTGCTGAGCTGAACCCCAAGTAATAAAACAGGGATCAGAAGGGGCTGCTGTCAGATCAGGGACTGGACAAGTGTGGGCGAATGGAGTTATGAGAATCTGGACTGATCCATCGCCCAAATCCTGCAGTTCCGCCAAAGCTGACATTAAACACTTAATCACTCTCATAGGCTTTAGACAAAACCCAAGAGGAGCCTGTCTGCGCTCATATGTGTGCGAATATTTACCCAGATTAGTTCCAATTTACAGACAGTAATGACCACAAAGAGATAGTTAAGCCAGAGGGGGGATGTATAAATGCTCACAGTGGAAAAATAACACTTTAAAACAATACTATTTACACCCCTCCAAAGAGTCTCAATGGTGTAAATCCCATCTGCTTTTTATTAGGAAGCTTTGAAAATGGAGACAAATTATCCCTGTGATAGGTCATGTCACAGCTGCTTAAATGTGAAAGTATGCAACAATGTATAATACTCAGACTTGAAATACAAAGAGACCATCCATTTTGTTTTGTAACACCTCCTCTTAAGCATTAAAGGTGTATTTAAAAAACATAAAATATACATGTTTCTAGTGCTGTAAATCAATGGTAGAAGCCATATATTTAACTTCAAACAATGGCACTCAACACTTCCAATATTTTGGTTGATTTGTTTGTCTGATAGTCTGAAGAAAATGCAGAAATGTATGAGACTTTAACACATTGTATTAACCCTGAACCGACCCTACATTATTCTTGGTTTGAAATTAATTAGAATACTTTGTGTTAATGATGTATTGTCATCTAAAGACTTTTTTGTTGAGAAGTTTTTATCCCACAACAGAAAGAATTGCTTGCTTGTCTTTCCAAGGACACTCTTTAATATGTATTTTCTCTTCTTTGTGGGTGTTTGTTTTTGTGCGGATATAGCTCTGGGTCTAAAACTTGAATGTTCAATTAAAATCATTCACCTGCAGCATTCAGTTTAAATAATTCACAACATTGTTTCTCAGCAAGAAGTGTACATTTCTCATCCAAAGCAGAAAACCATTGCAGGGTTCAAAATAATTATAGACAATTTGTCAGATGTCACCTCTAAACTATACTTAAAAACTGTACTAAACACTGAATCATCTCTTTATTATTGTGACTTATCATGGTATTTTAATAATATACCTTTTCCTATTAGTAATTTTAGAGTAAACCAGGTACATTTTCAAACAGTGTAAAACTGAAAAAAATGTACTTGTCTGGATGAAACTATTCAAGTTAAGCCAGTGTTATGCAATGAACTTGCTCCCTGCCAAAAAATGTAAATGAATTCCACACTGCAAGTTGTGTGTTTTGCTATATATAAATGTCTTAATATTGTGGTGATATTTAGATTAAAATTGTTTCATGACTTCCGACAGACAATTTTTTTT